TAGTTTTTGTCCCCCAAATGACCATAGGCTATCTCTATAAAATGTTAGGAAGGATCTAAGGGCTTAAACACAAGGAAAATGAGGGATTTCTTGGAGTTTACGGCCCAAGCATTTATCTAGGCCGTAAACTCCCCAAAACCCACTCAAATGTTGGTTTTAATCACCCAAAATAGCATCAAACTTCATTAGAAATCACTAGGAAGGCATTAGGGGCTTTAAACTTCCCAAAACTGTAAGGATTAGAGTTTACGGCCGTAAACTCCTTTGGGAGTAGTTCCTTGGCTGTAAACTCATAGATCAAGCCCTTAGAAGCCTCAAATCCACTCATGCCTTTTATGAAAAGTCCTTAGAAAAATCCCATGAACAAGCTAGAAGCATCAAACACCCAAGAAATTAACCTTGGGAGTTTACGGCCGTAAACTCCCTTAGGTTGGGCCGTAAACTCCTTGTTTGGTCCATGTTGGTGTTTTAAATCCATTTACACATTTGATATGTGAGTATAGCAAAGTCCCACAACTGATAAGAGACCCTTAGCACCCGTAAACGCTACCCGGGACCCCAAACACTCAACCAAAAGTGTTTTCCACTCCTTTGAGTGTGTATAATTGTTTAATTAGTATATTATATGCTAATTGTATGTGAACATATGTTATCATATGTTAAAATAGGTCCTTGTGTGTGTTCAAGTCCTTGCGTGACCCCGAACGCCCAATCGGCACTTTCGTCGGACCTACTTACACCAGGTGAGTTCATACCCCTGAATGAACCTTTTAAATACTTTTAAATGTTTTATAGGGGGGATACAAGTTAAACATGCCAGTTATCATGTCAATCGCATATGATTGATAACCCGCATGCACAAGATTTTACCACTTTTACACTGTTTTACCGAGTGGGACACTAAAATGACTTTTACCTGTTTCATAACTTTTACTTATACTGATTTATTCAAATTCATCCTAAATTGGTTTATGAAAGATCCTCTAAGGTTTTAAACGTATTTTAGAAAGGAATACAATTTGTGATTTTATCTGTACATAAAGGCTTTTCATTAAAGATTTCCCTTTTTGACGTATACTTTTACTTGTTAAACACTGCTGTATCGCTTATACTTATTTTTATACTCTGACTCGGTAACACTTTCACTTATACCTATAGTCGATTATACATGATGACGCTTATACTTATTCACGCTCTTACTTAGTGATATCGATTCTACTTCACTTATACTTGATATTGACTCTACTTCACTTATACTGGATATCTACTCTACTTCACTTATACTTAATACGCTCTCGCTTCACTTATTGTCGCCTCCACTTCGTGATACGCTTATACTTGTTCGACACTTCTACATCACTTGCGACCGCTCTTACTTCACTCGTCAGACACTCCTACTTCACAAGAATCCCTTATACTTGATACACTTATACTTTACGATTTTGTTATTCCACACTGTATGAATTCACACCATGATGATATGTCTTCAACTATTACACACTTAGTCGTAGTTAGATGTACGTCTGTGCTTATATAGATACATATAAGTAACGATTGAAAGACTTAGGAAGGCTCATCCGCCCTATTTCCTTTTCTTCGTTGAGATGTGGTCTGGTGGGATCGGGTGGCCATCCGAAAGTCGTTTGGTTCATTACTTATTTACTGTGTATATGAGTATGGACATACAGGAAATTCTCCAATCAGTCTGTTAAGAGTCTCTACCTCTAGTCTACACTTACATTAGAAACCCACTCCCTCTTAGTAACACACTATCCTCTATTTGGGATGCATCTTCGGGACGCGGCCTTCTCCGTCGTCTAGTTGGTAACCAGAGTCTCCTGTAGGGAGAGCGGACATTGTGTGTATAGGCCTATACGGGATTGACAACCCCGCACCCTGACTGCTAGCTACAGTCCACGGCCTACCAAGCCAAGGGGTGACAAATATCACATTATATAGATGCTTGTAGGGCGTCTAGAACTCTAGTCAGTATGGTTACGAGTATCCTGGGTTGCCTTATAATACATGGCTTTAAGGTAACGGTATTTCGTCAGCGATTTACACTGTATGCTGATATCACCTTTTTCAGAGTCACACTGTTTTGACCTTGCTAGTTGTATCTTTCACTTGATACTGTCTGGGGTCTGTTATCTCGGTTTGACCTTGCGAGATGTACCTTTCATTTGGTATCGTCTGCGGTCTGTCTTCACTGTTTTGACCTTGCGAGATGTACCATTCATTCGGTATCGTCTGTGGTCTGACTTCACTGTTTTGACCTTGCGAGATGTACCTTTCATTTGGTAACGTCTGCGGTCTGCCTTCATTTTTATGACCTTGCAAGATGTACCTTCCATTTGGTATCGTCTTCGGTCTGCGTTCACTGTTTTAGACCTTACCAGTTGTACCTTTCATTTGGTACCTTCGGGGGTCTGTTTCTCCATTTGTTAGACTGAACCAGGCGTGTCGTTAGTTCGATACTTTCCTGGAGTCTATGACTCTTTTGCCTTAGTCAGCAGTCCTCACTGCTGAGGCATATGTTATTCCCTGATGCCTCTGCTTTCTTTAATAATCAAATTCAGCATTTTGATATTATTAGCAACTAAGGGAAACTTTTCTTACCATATTTCACTGACCAGTCTTGGTAGAAGGCTGCTTTTATTAAAGAAAATATAGGATTTTTTGGAAAGAACACTAATACACTGAAATCACTTAAACTATCACTTTATTAAGTTATTTGAATGAAATGTCACTAAATGCTTATGAACTCACCAGCATTGTAAAAATGCTGATACTCGCTTTTCAAATAACTTGTATTCTCAGGTTAGCATTAGACAGGTACATCCCCGGAGCTGTTGATGAAGATAGCTTTGTACTATGCTGCATTTATCCTATTACTTGTATTACTTTAAAGTGTTGTAATGTAACCATGTAAAACTATTACTATTAATGCAATGTTTTGTTGTACTTTGATTACTATAATGCATGTGTTGTGATACTTGACATGACGTCATCCACCCCAGAACGTTTCCGCCGTTCCGGTTTTGGGGTGTGACACATGTGGTGCAAAATGGGTGGTGCTACCTCGCCTTTAGCAGGTAAATCTCGTAATCTTCTAAAATCATATATTTCGCATACAAGCTCTGTTTTACACGTTCTTTATATCCCTAATTTCATATCAACGAGTACTACAACTTTCATTTATACTTCGTCAACTAATTGACATTTTTTTTCACAGTCTATAAGGAATACACTTTAAAAGACTTTGTGAATTCATATCACCTTCATATAAGTTTCATTCTCGACGTTTATTATATTGATGGATTTGTATTTACGAGGACATCAACTTTAAGTGTAGATTGTTTCGGATAACAAGAAACCTATCTCGATTTCATGTTTTATGACACACATTGTTGTATTGAGTTGAACTCGAAACTCTAAAAAATCATAACATCTTCATGCGAAGTCAAAATTAAGCATTCTTTATACTTATCGATTCGTAATCACGACCACTACAACTTTCTTCAAGATTATTTATCTCAAATAATCTTTTATTTATAAACATTATTTTATTGTTCAACGATAAGTAATAACAAGATTTTCTACAATTATTATATATACTCATAATATTTCCACATAGTGTGTGTGTGTGTGTGTACATATATATATATATATATAGCCCCTAACATGCGCGAAGAAGTAAGAACGATTATCGACATCGAGTATTTTAATTATTCAACTAAATGAATAATCATAACTAAAATCTCTTAATGGTCTAGCCCGAACTTATGGATATTACATATGCAGGTGTGTAGTCTCCCCTCCTGTATATAAGTATGAATACATACATGATGATGATTTTTGTTCAACATTGTATATACGTCGAAACTTTTTTTTTTTTATTTCAAAATTGTTATACTTGTAAAATATATGTATACTACATATTGTGACAAATAATAGATGATGTATATTTTCATAAAGCATATTGTGGTTATTGAATGTATTCATCGCAATAAGCATATGGAATGAAAGAAAAACGAGTATCAAAATAAGAAAATAGATAAATGATTTTTTTGCTATTATTAGATAATTTATATATGATAATGAGTAGTTTATCAAAATAAAAAAGAAATCTTTATTTGTCATAAATGATATTGAACACTTATAATAACTTCAATGGTCAACGGTGTACAAAAAAAGTTTTTTAAATATGAATAAAACAAGTAGATAATTACCCTCATAAGTTATTTTCTCATTTTAATTTCTCTCTCTCTCTCTCTCTCTCTATATATATATATATATATATATATATATATATATATATATATATATATATATATATACAGAGAGAGAGAGTCGAACCAACCCTCCGCAATTTCAGAATCCCCCTGCCGAATGGCCTGTTCTCCCCGGTCGGAATAGGTGGGTTAATTCCTTCCCTTAGAACCGTACTTGAGAGTTTTCTACCTCATACGACTCGACAGTCAACTCTTTTTGTACCCCATTCGAATCTACCATATCTAACTGAATAAGATTTCTCGTAGATCTATTCCATTTTTCGGGTTAACGAAAAGAAGTTGATATATATATATATATATAATATATATATATATATATATATAATATATATATATATATATATATATATATATATATATATATATATATATATATATATATATATATATATATATATAAAAGGTAAATTGTAGAAAAAATAGTCAGTGATTATAGTAATATATATATCAACACTTTTAACACATTCATTGGTCAATCATATAAAAAATTACCTCAATATAAACAAAACAAATATATTATTATCCTCTTAAATCATTTTCATATACTTATACAATAGTCAATAAAAGTTAACACCATATAAAAAAGGTATCATATCCACAACTTTCACCAAACCAAGTGGACGTATATTATACTTTTCCTTTTTATTTATTATTATTTTTAATAATTAAAAGAAGGCCTCAAAGAACATGCGTAGAAGTATATTGATATGGGACCGGAGTTGCACGCTTCTACCAACCGAAATATTGGCATTGCCATAATTATTCAATTGGTTGGTCTTTTCGTCATAGATTATCAACGTTCCTCGAATCTCTCTCCATGTATCTAATACATCAAAATGGATCCATGCAATTCAATCGCAAACGAAGTCAATAATCTGGTTTCACGACATGGGTTTGGTTGAGGTTTTACGAACAATTGATTTCGAACATGAATCCTACCCAACTTATGAAGATTTCATAATTCTTCCTGCATTTGCTATCTTCTTTCCAACTTTTCGATATTTCCTTGACATATATGTTTTTGAGGTAATTTTTACTCATCTTATTCAATCATATATAATTATTTAATCAGATTAGGATTGTATTCATCAAATTTTATGGGGGACGTTAGGATAAACAAGAGTTATGTTTCGTGTTTTGTTGGGAAATATGTTTCACATTTATAATTTTATTCCCAACGTTCAAATGAGAGATTTCCCATATGATAAGCTAATATTTTGGTGTCAAAATACGGCTTTAGTTGCATTTGAAACCATTGAAATTGATTTTGTTTTACACAAAGTTAAAAGTTTTTAAGAATCAAGAAGGATGAAAGATACATTTTATATCTAATTGATGGATGCCTTAGGTCAAGGCTTATTTGGAGAGGAGAAAGGAAATACAAAGGATTATGTATGAGTTGTATTGATGAGAGAATCCCTAGTTTCGAATGGAAGCACAAATGAAGATTATTTGCAAGAATCTTGTTCTATCAAACTGCTAGTTGTTGCTTATGTCAAAGTAAGGTGATTTGAAAAAAAAAAAAAAAAAAAAAAAAAAAAAAAAAAGTAATGTAATTTAGGCATCTTTAAACAGGGTGAGAAATGAGTAGATATTTCATGAAGATTTGGATCCTTTAGATGTGACATTTAGACCTCCATAATTATGGTGACCATGAAGACATGAACATCAACGAAAAATGCAACACAAAACCCCTTTTTTCTATTAGTGATTTCTTAGATACAATGAGGTGATAATGGTTGTCTCAATGAATATAACATCATGGGGATAAGAACATAGAAGATAAAGAGGAGAATGAGAGTCTACCATGGTTAAACAAAACCAAACAAAAAACCCTCAAAATCAACTAACTATTAAATATAAAATATCAAATATATAATCAATCAATTCCAAAAACATGTTCACATTTCATGATTGAGTGACATGTTGCAGGGTATAGGAAGGCAATTAATATTTTCAAAGGAGCATCAGATGCTAGATGTCGATACAGAAGAAAGAAAGAAAAAAATACGAAAATTTAAAGAATCGGCATGGAAATGTGCTTATTATCTTTCGGCTGAAATTATTGCTTTAATTGTAACTCATAACGAGCCTTGGTTCACAAATACTATTAACTTCTGGATAGGTCCTAATAATCAAAGATGGCCCGACCAAAAAGCAAAGTAAGATCATATAACTGTATTGTATCATTGTATGCACTTTAGTTCTTTTCATCATCTCAATTGTTTAATACATATTTTTCAGGTTAAAATTGAAAGGTCTATACATGTACACGGGTGGATTCTACGTGTATTCCATCTTTGCTTTAGTTTTTTGGGAAACGAAAAGGTCCGACTTTGGTGTATCAATGGGGCATCATGTTGCAACTGTCATCCTCATTGTAATGTCTTATATTTGTAGGTATATATGATTTATAAAGGAAATTCATGGACTAATAATTTAATATTCTAATACACGCTTTAATTAAAATATTTGTTTCTTGTAGATTTATGCGAGCTGGTTCTGTGATTTTAGCTCTTCATGATGCAAGCGATGTGTTTCTTGAAGTAGGAAAGATGTCTAAATACAGTGGTGCCGAAGGACTTGCAAGTGTTTCATTTATATTATTTGTGATTTCATGGGTAATCCTTCGGCTTATTTGTTACCCTTTTTGGATTCTACGGAGTACAAGGTTTGAGCATCATGGAAACTATATGCTTTTAAAGTTCATGCATATAATATATTAATATTCCTTATGAATTATGAATTATGATCATATCATCTATCTTTTTGTTCCTTGTTGCAGTTATGAAGTTGTTATGGTGTTGGATAAAGATAAACATGATACATTGATACCAATCTACTACTATATCTTCAACACCCTTCTTTTCTGTTTGCTTGTTCTTCATATCTATTGGTGGGTGCTTATATATCGAATGCTTGTTAAACAAATCCAAAATAGAGGCAAACTTAGTGATGATGTTCGTTCAGGTAAGTAATCAAGTCACTATGATTTAATTATATCTAGTTGACCTTTTGAACATTAATAAATGCAACTTGTGATTGAATTAATGGTCCAAAAATCCACCATAGAGAATATTACACTTTTGTAGACACTCTTATTACTTGTTTCAAACACTGTAAGTTAATTATATATGTTATGGTATCTGTTTTATTTTAAATAGTTTGGTTTTTCCTTTCGCAGATTCTGATAGTGATCATGAACATGAAGATTAATCAATCATTCTTGTAGTAAAAAGGTAATTGGATTCGCCAAGAAATCGATAGAATTATAACATGCTAAAGAGTTATTGGTGGGTGAAAGGATTCCAGCACGAAAATTTTATTCCTTAATCAAGACACGTTGTATATTTGTATGAAATCAATCAAATGTTTGGTATTATATAGGAGTCGATGTATAGAAATTTCAAATGTAATGAAATGTCATCTACAATATGTTCTTAATTTGGTTGCAGAATGATCTTGAGTTAATATTGCAGAACTTATTTACACCTAAATACCTAATTAAGGCCCTGTTTGATATGGCATCTGACTGAGTCAGGTCAGACATTTTTGCTGACTCGGTCAAATCTTGTCATCTGACTCGGAAAGCAATGTCTGACCGAGAAAGAAGTTGGGAGTTGGCTGACTGAGAAAGAAAACAAGGCTTTCCAATAGTACCCTTGGCTTGGATAAAAATTCACAACTAATGAAGGCTGAAAGGTTTTTTGTGTTTTATCTTTAAAATAATATATTTAATGTCTATTATGTGGAGGTTTTTGTATAAATTATTATTATTATTATTATTATTATTATTATTATTATTATTATTATTAATGTCTATTATTATTATTATTATTATTATTATTATTATTATTATTATTATTATTATTATATTGCATAGAAACGTGTATAGCATCAGGGTAAAATGGTCATTTTACACGAGTCAGCACATTCGGTCAGATTTTCAATCAAACAACATGATTTCTTACTCAGTCAGAATTTCTTACTCAGACAGACCTTTCTCAGTCAGCACTTTCTCAGTCAGCAATTATCAAACGGGGCCTAAATCTAACTGAATGATATTTTAATACTCATTTGTACAAGTTATGAATTATAAAATGTTTTTCTATCTAATAACCTTAAATATTGCATGATACTTGTTTGAAGAGACTCCAAGGATGCCCGAAGACGAAGGAGATATCCAAGCCTTGAGTATCATTTAAGCTTGGAAACATTATGATTATGTTTTAAATGGTCTTGTTGATTCACTTTATAATGTTTATCATGTAACCAAAATGGTTAACGAACTACGTGAAGCATAAACGAAAGGAAATGAAAATTGAGTATCATTTAAAACATTATGATTATGTTTTAAATGGTCTTGGTTATGGGCCTCATCACATGTGGTTCGCATGGAACAAGTGTCGCGACCAAAACTTGTAATTGCTATAACTTTCGTATCCGACCTCCAAATTAGTCCCCGTTTTCACATACATTCATGTTTTAACATGAAAAAGACTTTGAAATAATAAATTTCATATTCGGTATGAACAAATTAATAAGAGACTTAATGGATCACTTAATAAGGTTTTAAAAAAATGTATTAGGTGACACTTGAGTTCCTAAATCGTTTTTGAGGAGGAAGGGTTGTGTACGCAATGAATGTACATGGGGCAGATTGTTTCCCATGCTCGTGGGTGTATAACAAAAAAAATAGCTCCATATGTTTATACCACACGATAGGCCAAACACATATATGGAAATAAATAATAAAACAGAAGTACAATAAAGTTTATAATTAAACAAAATACATATCCCCTATTCTAATAAACACATATCCCTTATTCTAATAAACGGAGTCTTCTTTTATTTGTTCGCATGTTTCTGAGTTCCAAGAAAGTGGTATTCATTTTGACAACTTACATTTACAAGTTACATACATGCGTTATATAATGACTGACTTCAAGCGTTCCTAATGGTAATGTGTGAACTTGTCTATAAATATTACCTCAAAACGTGAAATCCATGATTTTGAAATTCCTTATTCATCTTCTTTGTCTTTCAATTGCATCTGTGAATATTTTGTCGGCTTTGTTACTTCAGTCAGCTTCATATAAGTTCTATTCCTCATTTTACTTCCTGCAAAAGATTTCCATATTCACATATCAGGTTAGTGTTTTGAAATTAGATTACATGGGTTTCAGTATGGATGTTAGTTAAAGGATTTTGTGGATTCCAATTCCATACTCAATTGCAACTAAGCGTTGGAATGGAATTGAACTCCAATTCACTTAGGGAATAATACATTTATCTTTTGGATCACTCGGCAACCATACATTTGGAGACTTAAAGGCAATATCTGACCTTCAAGCTGGTTTGCAAGCTCCTTCTTTGCTTAGTGCTTCCATACTCAAAAAACTGAAATACAAGAAACTAATTATTAAAAGGAAATAGAGTATAAATTCCACTTTTGGACAAGTGATTGATAGTGTTGGAATATAAAATTATGGAATTACCCCATATGCATACCTTTTGAATAATATAGTAACCAAAAACATTAGTGATTAAACTAGAAGCATTTGGGATAACTTCTTTAAATACGGATTCTGATACAAATAGAGAAGAGGGGACCACAGTAAATGTCACACCTAAACCGTTATTGATGTATTCTAGAAAGGGACCAGGGGTAAAAAGAGGAAAGACTATCATTAGTTAGTTATGTAGAGAGGAGAATATATAGAGAGAGAATAAGAAAGTATGAGGTCATGTTTTTTGTTATGATTGTATTGGCTCCTGAGGATTTGTTTCAGTGAGAGAGGGATCATTCCCTGGGCAATCTTCGGATTGAATTATCAATACAAGTTCATTCTCCTTTCACTCATTCATCACATTTCATCATTTCATCTGTTTCTTGTTTCATTTACAATTTATATTCACATCATTGGTCCGACCTGCCCCTGACCTGCCGCCGGTGAATCCATGGCTGGGACTCGCTCTACCTCTCAACGTTTGGATGATCATGATGCAACTCTTTCTCAACTTCAGATAGACATGGGAGAGATGAAGGTGAATATGGAAAATTTGAACAACAATTTTCAGAAAGAACAACAGGAGAACATAGCGTTTCGTAAGCAAATGTTGACGTGGATGGCCAAATTTGAGAAGACGCCGGTTTCGGAGGGATTCGTTGAAATTGGATCTGGATCTGGTCTAGTCTTTCCATCTCCACCACCGCCTACAAGAGAGCCTTTGTTCCCTTCCGGTGGTGATTCCCGTCTTCCTCCACAGTTTGAGCCGCAATCATCTGGGTTACCTTGGTCGGTGAAGAAAATTAAGCTTCCGGAGTTCAATGGGTTCGATCCTCAAGGATGGATCCAGAAGGCCAATCTCTTCTTCGACATTAATGGTACGCATCCCCAATTTCGTTTACGATTAGCTCAGCTGAGTATGGTGGGTGTTGCTCAACATTGGTTTACCATTATTCTTCAACTTCATCCGTCACTTTCCTGGGAACAGTTCCAAGAGGAACTTCTGCAAGGTTTCAGTGGATTAGAAGTTCAAAACCCTTATATCCAGCTGGCTCGAATTCAACAATCTGATTCCATTCTGGAATATATTGATGATTTCGAGTATTTGCTATCTCTTGTTCCCCAACTACCGGAAAGACAAGCTATCGGGTATTTTGTGGCGGGGCTCCAGGATGATGTCCGTCGTTGGGTTTGTTTGCAGTGACCTCGTACAACAATGGAAGCGATGTACGTTGCCAAGGATGTGGAGGATTTGCTCCGTCCGGTGTCGGGGAATGTGTCTCAGACCCGTTTCCGTTATTTGAACCGATTTGGGGTTTCCAATGGGTTTTTTTCTGAGCCCAATACTATGGTAGGTCAAACGGCCTCAAAAGAGTCCAGTTTAAATAGATGGGGATCCAAATCTGTTTCGAGTCGTATGGAGGTCACTCGATCGACAGCTACACCAAAATCTGTTCCGTCTGTTCCTTCAGACATCACCAAATCTGGAAATCGAGATCGGGGAACTCGATCACTCACGCGCACGGAATGGGAAGAACGCCGCAAGAAGGGGCTCTGTTTTCGTTGTGGGTTACAATATGGACCAAATCACAAGTGTGCTGAGGGTCAATTACGTGTCTTACTCTTAGGAGATGAAGAGGATACTGCACTCGAGGACCAGTTCCGTTTGCTGGACTCGTCTGCATTGGAGCATCCAGAACAGGAGATCGTGACTCACGGAATGTGTTCTGCCCTAGAATTTGCCGGCGATTCTCAGTTGCCCTTTGGTGGCCAAACTCTCAAATTCGAAGGGGCTCTAACAGGTATTCCCGTGATTCTGTTAGTTGATAGTGGTGCCACCCATAATTTCATTTCGAGACAGTTAGTGGACGCTTTAAATTTCTCTACGGATATTTTTTCGGGTATTCGTATCAAGTTGGGTGACGGTTTCATTGTTCATGTTACCGAACGCTATCTTAATCTTTCCATCACGATCGGGTTGTGTGTTTTTTTGATTACGGCATTAGTGCTAGACACGGGGTCCACAAACATGATTTTGGGTATGCCTTGGTTGAATTCCTTGGGAGAAGTGACTCACAATTGGAAAGATGCATGGATGAAATTCAAGTGGGACGCTCAAGAAATCACACTTCATGGGTTGCCTGTTGGCCAACGTTCTCACACTCCGTTACACCATTGGTTGAGTTCTGGAGGTCAATTATCTCAGCCATACATACCTTCCACACTGGGTGCATCGAATCAGTTAACTGCATTGCTTCAGCAGGATCATCAACAGGCACTTCAACAATTATTAGCCAAATTTGAAGGTATCTTTCAGAACCCAACGGGCTTACCTCCTATCCGAACACATGATCATTGTATCAATTTGATACAAAATCAGGACCCAATTTGTGTTCGTCCGTATCGTTATCCCCACTTACACAAAACAGAGATCGAAAATCAAGTGAAGGAATTGTTGTCCTTGGGAATGATTCGTCCAAGTAAGAGTGCTTATTCTAGCCCGGTGATCTTGGTTCGTAAGAAAGATGCATCTTGGCGAATGTGTGTTGATTACAGAGCTTTGAGCAAAGCCACTATTCCCGATAAGTTTCCTATTCCGGTAGTCGAAGAGTTACTTGATGAATTACAGGGTGCACAATTTTTTTCTAAATTGGATTTGAAATCTGGCTACAACCAAATCCGTATGCATCCGGACAGCATTGAAAAAACGGCATTTCGCACACATGAGGGTCATTATGAATACTTGGTTATGCCTTTTGGGTTGATGAATGCTCCTTCTACATTCCAAGCCGTTATGAATGATGTTTTTAGACCCCTCTTGCGGAAGAAGGTAGTAATTTTCTTTGACGATATTCTGGTATACAGTGCCACGTGGGAGGCTCATCTCGCTGATTTGGAGTTGGTTTTTCGTATATTACAACAACATCAGTTTGTAGCCAATCAAAAGAAATGTCATTTTGCTCAAACCGCTGTGGATTACTTGGGCCACATCATTAATGGTACATGAGTTGCTATGGATCCAAGTAAAGTAGAGGCAGTGCTTGGGTGGCCGGTTCCCAAGAATATCAAGGCTCTTCGAGGTTTTCTTGGACTCACGGGGTATTACCGTAAATTTGTCAAAGATTACGGTAGTATTGCTCGACCATTAATAGACCTTACCAAAAAAGATGCTTTTTGTTGGACCAAGGAGGCTCAGCAGGCATTTGAGCAACTTAAACAAGCTTTAGTTTCTGCTCCTGTTTTGACTCTCCCCAATTTTTCGATTCCGTTTGTCATTGAATGTGACGCTTCGGGAAGGGGAATTGGTGCAGTTCTTATGCAACACAATCGACCTATTGCTTATTTTAGCAAAGCTCTAAGTGACAGGAATCTTTCTAAGTCTGCTTATGAACGTGAGATTATGGCATTGATCTTGGCGGTGCAGCATTGGCGTTCGTATCTATTGGGCACAAAGTTAAACAAGGAATTCTTTATTATAAGAACAGATTGGTTATTTCTCGGGCTTCTAAATTTATTCCAGCACTGTTACAAGAGTTTCATACGTCCGCTTCGGGAGGGCATTCTAGGTATTACCGTACATATCGCCGTTTGGCTAACAATTTATATTGGCCCGGTATGATTGGGTGTGTAAAGGCGTTTGTGCGAGCATGTGATGTGTGTCAGCGTTGTAAAGTTAGTTCGCTATTGCCTGGGGGTCTGTTACAACCTTTGAACATTCCAGCTGCTATTTGGGAGGATCTCTCTATAGATTTCATCACGGGTCTTCCGAAATCCAAAGGCAGTGATACGATTCTGGTGGTGGTCGATCGGCTATCGAAGTACAGTCATTTTTTGTTGTTAAAACATCTGTTTTCCGCAAAATCAGTGGCCGAGTTGTTTGTGCGTGAAGTTATTCGTCATCATGGCATTCCCAAATCCATTGTAAGTGACCGAGACCCCTTATTTCTAAGTAATTTTTGGAAAGAGATTTTTCGATCACAGGGAACTCAATTGAACATGAGTTCAGCGTATCACCCGGAATCGGATGGGCAAACTGAAGTGATCAATCGTTGTTTGGAGGCGTATTTACGTTGTTTTGCTGTCGATCAACCTCGTTCCTGGGCTTCGTGGATTCCGTGGGCGGAGTTTTGGTATAACACTACGTTTCATGGGTCAACGGGTGTTTCTCCTTTTGAAGTGGTCTATGGTCGTAAACCACCGTCGGTGGTGCAATTTGTGCATGGTGAAGTTCGTGTACCAGCAGTTGCGATTGAATTACAAGATCGTGATGAGGCATTGAAGCAATTGCGTTCTCACTTGTCCCATGCTCAGGCGTTGATGAAAACTGCTGCAGATAAGAAAAGAAGAGAGGTCCATTTCGCTGTAGGAGAATGGGTGTATGTGAAGTTAAAACCGTATCGAAAAATGTCGGTTTCTCGTCGTATTCATCACAAATTGGCAGCCAAGTTTTTTGATCCGTTCCAGGTCGTTGAGAGAGTGGGTCCGGTTGCGTACAAATTGCAGTTACCCCCGACTTCAAAAATACATCCTGTTTTTCACGTGTCTCTCCTCAAGAAAGCAGTGCAAACTCCAACAGATTCTGTCTTCCCTCCGGAATTGGAATTGAATCAAGATGAGATTTTAGTACCTAAACGGGTTTTGGCTACCCGGCTAATCAAAGATCAACAAGAGGAGTTTGAGCAATGGCTGATTCAGTGGGATGGACAAGGGAAAGAAGAAGCTACATGGGAAGATGCTATCGTGATTCAGGGACAGTTTCCGGGGTTGAGTCTTGAGGACAAGACTCATTCTGAAGAAGGGAGTAATGATACAAATAGAGAAGAGGGGACCACAGTAAATGTCACACCTAAACCGTTATTGATGTATTCTAGAAAGGGACCAGGGGTAAAAAGGGGAAAGACTATCATTAGTTAGTTATGTAGAGAGGAGAATATATAGAGAGAGAATAAGAAAGTATGAGGTCATGTTTTTTGTTATGATTGTATTGGCTCCTGAGGATTTGTTTCAGTGAGAGAGGGATCATTCCCTGGGCAATCTTCGGATTGAATTATCAATACAAGTTCATTCTCCTTTCACTCATTCATCACATTTCATCATTTCATCTGTTTCTTGTTTCATTTACAATTTATATTCACATCAGATTCCTTATCTTCAACACTACAAATTTCCAACTTTTGTTGAATGAATCGACTTCCATGAAGATCACCACTGAATTTAAAAATTACAAAGATGCCATTATTTCATCTTAAAACCTTAAAGAAAAGCTTTTTATAAACTTAGAAAGTAGCTCAAAGTGACAAATGTTTCTCACCAGAATTCAACAATGTGCCCAAAAATATCATAAAGACCAAGCCTACAACCTTTTCCAGATTTCAATTGTTCAAGAAATGAATATGTTTTAGTATCTTTAAAATCATGATGTCCACCATAAGAACCTGAAGGTGACCTCACTCCATTCCTCCCACCATGGAAACTGACCTCACCAATTGGGGATCCTAGGACAGGTGGACTAGCAAAACTCGAGGGTGGAAACTGTAAAATACCATAATTTGTTGGGCTTCCAAAATAGTAAGGATTCATAGTATGAGTATCTATTCTTCTTGAATTCAAATTATGCCCCATGAGTCCTAAAGATTGTTGTTTTGACATTATCTGATGATCATCCCCATGTGGACAAGAAATGGAGGTTGAATTTGTAATCCTGGATGCCCATAGAACTTGTTAAAATGTTGCAAATTAACACCAGAGGTTTGACTTTGATTTTAACCGATAAAGCTTTGAGATGCAGTGATATTGAAAGGCATAGGGACACGAACAGGATTTGTAGGGAGGTATCCCCTTACATAAAGTGAAAGAGAAGGTTGATGATTGAAAGCATATCCAGTTACACATTATTCAGGAGGGAAGTATCCAGATTGAATCATATTTGGGTAAACAGGATTACCCGTCATCATATATGAACCTGATGCATAAAGAAATTGGATGCCGATAATTGTAATCTGTTGCAATAAACACGAATTAACACAAACACGGAGAGGAAAACGCTCCAACAGTAAGCGAGAGAGCTAGTCCCATCTAGGGTTACGACGAGAGGCGGGTAGAGATTGGGAAGTGAGAAAAAAAAAACACACACACTTAGATTGAATTGAAATACATAAAACTATCCCCTATTTACCTCTGGTTGATCGATGTCTACACAAATGGTTTTTTGCCGGTGGTTCCTTCAAATGTGAGTAATGACTGAATCGTAATAGCTATCACTTACCTCCACGTATTATTTACCTCTGAAACATGATTCCTTCCTCTTCGATTTATGTGTTTGTGCTGAAATCACGTTTAGGGTTAGAGTTCATTCTCGTGTTCGTATACTAGCTCTTCGATTTCCTTCAAGATTGTAAGGACAATATATGTTTCACATTTCATGCGTTGTATTTTTCATTAAAAGTTATCAATTATATATTATTAAGTTTAGTATTTTTAATTATACTCACAATTACACAATATAAAAATATACCAAATATTGATCTTACATTATATTTAAATGCAATATGTTTTCAATTGACTTATTTTTTATAAAAAAATAAAATAACGCATTAATAAACTAATATTTAATTTATATATACATTTTAATAAAACATTTCAAAAAAAAATTACACAATTTTATTGTATTGTTTTTGCTAATCTTTAACAAAAATATACTTAAAAATGACTATAAATTGACTTTCTACCCAATTGGTCGCTCGATAAATATTACCCCCCCCCCTCCCCCCGTCCCAAAATTATAGTCCACTGATAAAAAACATACAGATTAGGAAACATTAATTACTATTAACTTTATACAATAAAATGACAGTTTTGTTCTTATTTTGCATTTAATGTTCCATTAAATGCTTAGTTGTTTAAGTAATAATGATGATGTATTTTGGTAAAAGTGTTATTTGTTTTGTTGTTTAAGTAATAATGATGATGTATTTTGGTAAAAGTGTTATTTGTTTTTAAAAGTGGACTATTATTTTGAGACAAACCAAAAAGGAAAGATTGATTATAATTTTGAGACGGAGGGAGTATATCGATACTTAATTCTAATATGTTAAGCATATTAATTTATAAACTAATTTGATTTATTTTTTAGTGTTGCAGTGGTACAATGCATTTGTTTCCTTCTAAAAAGACTAGAAAACTAAATAGTTTCTATTTAGATAATACAAAAAATATTAATTTGGGTACTACATCAACACATCTATCTTCAGCAACTACAGTTGTTAATACTTCGATTTACAAAGGTAAGTTTTTTCATATAAAATTTTTATTATAATTATTTCTTATTTTTTAACTCACATAATTTAATATATATATATATATATATATATATATATATATATATATATATATTATATATATATATAAACATTTATTAACATAAAAAAAATAGATAAATTGTCAATTTCTTCATCCGCTGCAAGTCAATATTCTTCGAAATTGGTAATCGAGGCTTACAAAGGTACGTTTAATTCTTCAATATTATGATATAAAAATATTATTTACCTAATTATACATTTCATATCCTCTTATACAGAAAACAACAATAACATCTACCACTTGCAAGCCAGAGAGAAAAGAAGACAAAGAAAAATATATTTGGAAAATAAAAGATCGAAGAAAATGAATACAAGATCGAACATTCCAAGTACATCAATACTGCATCTCTTAAAAAATATAATTAATTGTAACCCTATTATTATTTTTTATTCTATGTTTTGCGCTTATTTTACATTTATATAGAATAAATGATCTCTCATATTTTTTTATTATTATCTTGTAATATTATATGATTTCATGTCATTACTTTGTTTTATACATGTCTTCAGTTTTTATAAGTTTTTGTTATTTGCAAATCAATTAACTAACATTGTTGGTCAAACTGAAAATGTCAATTCATTTACTTCACCTGGAATCCAAAATAGAACCGTACAATACTCTCATTCCTTTATAGATGTTAGAACTCCATTATCTAACATTACAAATGTTAGAACTCCGTTATCTATCATGCAATCGCCATGAATGATAAAGAAAAAAAGTAAAAATTAAGGGTTTTAAAAATCTCTATTTGTAGTTAAATACTTACCATTTATTGTGTAATTAAATACTTATAAATAAAAGCATTACAAAAAATACAATATAAGTCTTCTAACTTAATGATATATTATTTATTACATAATTAAATTTTAAATTATATTTAACATTAACACCCGTGGGTTCCACGGGTTTTCACCTAGTTAATATATATAAAAACCTACACAAAGTCATCAAAATCACCTAAAACGTTGGCTTTGTGTATTTTCCCAAAGCAAAAACATCTATTAGTTTATGATAGTCAAAACTAAGCATAAATTGATTTTTGATGCTAAAAGCCGCTAAACATTCAATCTTTATGGTTTCGGCAACTTCAATTTTGTAGAAATGCAACTCTTTTAGTTTTAAATCTAAATCATCTCAAACCCATGGATCATAAATAAATATTAAAAACAATTAATTTATCAACAAAATAGGTTACAACCCATAGAAACCACTGGTAAACATTTTTTAAAATTTTATTAAATTAATAAGAGGAAATCACAAATTGTTATTAAACTTTATAATAAAGAGACCATGAGGAGCTCACATCAAGGTAATCCATCAAACTCCATAAATCATCATACTTTCAGATAAAAGAAAAAAATAAAAGCCATATTTGAAGATTTATGTCAAGTAGTTTATAACTTGAAATAATAATAATAATAATAATAATAATAAAACCATGCCACATAAAACCATAAAATAAACATCAATGGGTAAATCAAAGACAGACGACCAATAAAATCTCTGAAGATTATGAAAGTGATGACAAAGAAGCATACACCTTCTGTTGCGTGAGATATAGTCGACGACCATTAGGATTCGAGAGAAGGAGAGACAATATATGAATGAAAATCAATTGGGATTTCCTTCAAGATAAATGAATGTGTGAAAATTCAGAAGGTTTTGAGATGGTGAATCAAGAACCCACTTCTAGGGTTTTATGAGTTATTTAAAGATTATGGAGAGAATAGGTTGGTGGTCATGATTCTCCGTGATGAATAGCTAATATATCGGCTTCAAATAGGAAACTCTTATCTGGGATTTCAAAATTGGGTTTATGTTAACAAAATTGTTGGTTAGTTTTTAGGGATTTCAAAATGGATGGCAAGAGTGCAAGACTTAGACGTAGGAAAATGAAATGTAAAAGGGAATGGCAAAAAGATGACAGGTGTCATATATAGGAGTCATAAGAGTTTGACACATGGCAGTAGAAGATTCAATCTATTTATTTATTAAAAAAAGAGATTCATTATTTTCAATGGTCATTAGAATCATCAATTTGATCATTGGAATTATCAACAATATCATTAGAATTAATAATTAAAGGATCATTAGAAATATAAACAAATTCACTACCATTTTCAATAATATCCTCATTTGTGACAAAATATTTATCTACAGATTGGTGTAAGGAATATAAAATTTAGTTGAACACGGATGGTTGTTTTTTAGAAAACATATTAACCAAACAATACTCAAAGGATGAGAGCAAAGAAAGATACAACATGGATTCCATAAATAAGTCAATGTTTCAATTCTCAAATTGAATAAGTTATTGTTTTGGAACTTCCAACTTTCAACTTGATTAAGTACGTCCACCATTTCAAATATCACAATTACAAATCTATAATCGTTCTAGAAATCATAATCGAAAATTACAATCAGATATCACAAAAAAGTAATCACAGTTAGAAATTCAAAAGCAATGAAGTAATGAAGTAACGAAGTCATAAATTCAAAATCTTTGAGTATTGTTCCAATAATTTATACAACCAGAATTCACAATAAGTCGATATTTATATACACTTCATGGATTTTTTTTTTTTTTTTAAATCGTCCTCGACTCATAGATTCCAGAATCATCTTGGGTCCTCTTCACCCCTAACACTCGGTAGTTGGCTCAAGAAATCAAAAAGCATAAGTGGTAAGTTTCCTTTTTCTTATTATCATCACCCTTGAGAGTCGTGATTCGTGATGAAAGAACGTCGCCTAATCCTAATTAATAATCGGGTAATCGGTAATCAGGTCAAACCATTCAATAAAGAATTTATAAGATTTGTTCTTCTAAACACATATATGATATATACAGTAATAGTAAACGGGCTTAATTATATACCCCTCCTAAATTATTGCCCGGATCATCCAATACTTAAGAGCATTGGGTGTGTGGGCAACAAGGTGCAACACCACCTCACATGCCACATAAGCAAGTGGTGTTATAACACCAAGTGGGGAAATGAGCAACAAGATGCAACACCAAAGAAAAAAAAAAAACAAAAAAGAAAAAAAAACAAAAAGTTAGTATTCCTCCCGTTTCAATTCGTCACAACGCCAACGAAATTTACCATGACAAGATGCAACAAGTTGGGGGGGCGGTGTTCCCCGTGTCATGACGCCGTTGAGGGGATGCCACCTCACCCCCCGTTGCATCTCGTTAGACCCATACCGCATAGTCTAATACT